TGATTGGAGATTAAATGATTGATAGAAATACTGGCAATTGGTAAAGATCTTGGTGAAAGATTTGGCAGTTTCTTTGTCTTCAAATAATTAAGAGTGCAATGTAACAAAGTAGTTAGGCTGATTAAGCTGGCTTTTCTTTTTCATATAAGATGGACGGTGATTTATGTGTTGACAAAAATCTAATTAAGCTCTTATTATTATTATTATTATTATTATTATTATTAGGTCACAATTACGTGCCTCAGTGGAATATATATGGTCGGTTTATTTTCAGCCAAACATCCTTTGCAATCTTCAATTATTGATAGGTTAAGATCAAATTCATATACTACTGAAAAATAATAAGTATAAGAAATTAACTTTTAATTATTCAATTTTTCTATTATAAATTTATCTTTTAACTCTATTTTTTTTTGAAAAATTTAATATATTTAAGATTTAAAATTAAAAAGATAATTTTTAAAAAAATTATTGATATTAATTTGAAAAAGTTTACTTTCTAATCGAACTCAATATTAAAATAAGTAGTAATCCTAAATTTAAAAAACACATACATACCTTTTTTTTTTTCAAACATTTTAGTGACATAAGATACTTTGATATTTGGAAATTTTATGAGAAATAGTTGTATTTTGCATATCTACTTGTAGAAAAAAGTTACGTACTTCTAACTTCTAATAAGGTTTATCTCAACAACACTACATCATCTATTGATTCTTCCACTATAATTGCATCATCTATGAAGAACATATACCACCGTGGCACCTACTCTTAATTATGGTTGATAATCACATTGCCACATATAGTCTTTTAAATTAATGGTGATATTATAGCCTATATAATAATATAATAGTGTTGGTGCTCTAATAAATAATAGATAATGTGTGGTTCGCATATAACAAAAGCATTTTTTCATACTAGAATAATAAAATTCCTTAACTACTTATTAGCTCAACTAATGTGGTTTTGTGCTTTATACAGTTCACATGAATTGTTTCTAAGTACATACAATATTATAATGAATATATATACTCTTGCAATTATTGACTCTCCTAATTAATTAATAATAGAGAGAAGAGTATTATTATATATATTTCTATGGTCTACTGTGTATTTTTTATTACAAATAAAGTTTTAAGGAACCTTTAATTTTAAAATGTTTATTTGAGTTCCACTTTTGCCAAATTTTAAAATGTTAATTACACTATACTGCTGCTGATTAATTATCCAGATTATTTTAATTATTTATTTTTGTTGGTCCACTATGTACTATATATTCTTTAAGAAAAAAATCATATCTAAATTTTGAATTAAGGTGGTGAACTGGTGGGTGCAAGAGATTCATTACAGAAGTCCTTTCAATTAATGGATGTATAAAACAATGGGTCATAGATTTATATATATTGTCACTTTGAATCCTCTAATTAATAAGCATGCACCGAACTTTTTGACTATTTTTTTCCTTTCTTTTTTTTTCTTCCCTAAAAAAAAAAAAAATCAAAGGTTGTAGAGAACTTTCGGCCAAGCATGGCTGCAAGGAGCTGCTTCTAATAATTTTGTGTTTGCTCTCACACGCTCCTCCTAATTAGCTTCCTCTGAGGGAAAAAAAAGTTTAATCAATTCACTTTCAATCCGACAGAACAAATCGAGATTTTATATGTAAATTAGATACCTAATAACATTTAATCGTATAATTGTTATATTTAGTATAAATTTTGTGAAATTGATTAATTTGTTTAAAATGTAATATTGAAAAATTTTCAAAGTTAAATCAAAATTTCTTTGAGCACATTGATTTATAAAAGACATATTTTGAATTATAAGAATGCGTCAATTTTGTACGAATTTATTTGAATCCTCTAGATTCACCCCAAGTGGCCAAGTATGATATCAAATTTCTCTTAGACCGTTTATGTTTTCTCTGATTTGAGCGTTGAAGCCTCTTCTATATATCACCAATTCATTTGATCAGTGATCACCTTCAATTAAAAATTTGTCCTCATTCTCCCTTGTACTAACAAATAAAGTAACAAGAAAATAAAATTGAAGATAACTAATTATTATACGAAGCATTTGAGGTATGTTAGAAACTAAAACGTTTGAGTTGTTTTTACTTAGCTTTTGATTTTAATAATAAAAAAAAGTATATAAACCATATATTGATTTATATATATATATTTCATTTTATTTTTTAATTAAAATCAATCGCTAGAGATTACATGTATACACCGATATACTTGAAAACTTTCCGAAAGAAAGTATCATCAATGAGTAACACATTTGAACTTGTCAAAGTTGATGGTTACTATGGTCATTTCAGCAGAGTATATAGTTCCAAATCAAACAATCTATCTGGCCACTATAATTATTTTTATTATTATTGGATTGGATTGTCTGTCTTTAATTTAAAATGTGAATGATGTAGTAGACCTAAGAGGCATGAGATATGATGACAAATATATGTAATATAACAAGTTGTCATTGTTTGTTTGAAGGAAATAGTTTAGTTTCTTTTTCTTTCTCTCTTTTCTGATTGAGTCTTCATTTTATTCCAACTAGTGAAAAAGATTGTTGAAGTGATCATCAGAGTCTATCTATGGCAGCCACATTTGGAGGTACAACACAGAAGTGCAAAGCATGTGAAAAGAAGGTCTATTGGGTGGAGCAGCTCACTGCTGACAACAAGGTCTATCATAAATCTTGCTTCAGATGTCACCATTGCAAGGGTACCCTCAAGGTTAGTGCATCTGCATCCCCTGCTGCCACACAATCTCAATGATGAATGAATGAATGTTCTTTAATACTTTAGCCTCTTTCAGAATCTGAATAAGAATCCCTGCAACAAAATTTGCATTGACACTTTATCAGCATTGTCATCATTGAACTAGCTCAAGACTATATATCATAGCTTACAATACAATTTAGGTCTCTTACATGGTATAGATGTTCTGAATACAAATATCATATTTCTTAATTTGTGAATCCGCACACATTAATACCAATATAAGAAATCAAGGTGTTAATTTAATCATCCAATAAACTGAGATAACTTATTTCAAAATCTATGTACAGAGATATCTGTATATTATAACTCATCTACAATTTAACATATGCTTTATTATTATTTCTTTTTGACATTTTTTTCAAATAGTCAAACTGTCAAGTGTCGTGTATTGATCAATCCAACTGCAGAATCAAAGATATATTCTTGCATTGTTTGCAAAAGGTTATCATCAATTAGCATTTTGAAATGGATAAATCTTGTGTTATGAATATGATTATAGGTCATATATGTATGTAATCCTCTTCAATTGCTGTAATTCACCCCTTTTTTTCAGCTGAGTAATTATTGTTCATTTGAGGGAGTTCTATACTGCAAGCCTCATTTTGATCAACTTTTTAAGATGACTGGAAGCTTGGAAAAAAGTTTTGAAGGTAAATAAATAATAACTAATAAATTAACTTTACTAATTACTAACCACTTGTTTAATTCTTATGCATAAGCAGTTGCATTGTCTTGGATTGAAATATCTGACTCTTGTTATGTGAAAAATCTAGCCATGAGTACTTGAGTTGAGTGAGAGTGTGTGAAGATAATGTGATTATGAAAGAAAAATAGAAGAAGGATATGAAAAAGCATGAGAACAAGAGAAAGACATAAGTGAAGCTAATGTAATATTTCTATTGTGATTTTTTTCACATCAATTAATAGAAAGAAATAATTTATATACTAGTACAAGAATGATTAAACTAGGTTAAACTAGTTCTAGTCGACTAACTCTAGTAAACATACCCAACTAATTTGGTATGGTAAGAAAAGTGTGACTACCTGCTAATTCTAATAAATTAACAATTTGTGATATTGATACTAACTACCACTAACATGTTATATTTAGGAGTTCCAAGAACTGCCAGGGTTGAAAGAACTGCTGATCAGGTTTTTTAACCATTCTTAATATCTTAATATACACAAAAATATATATAAATAGAAAATTAATAGCTTCTACTAATGCTTATGATTTTTGTCTCTTAAAAAATTCCACAGGTACAAAGCAATAATAGCAAGGTTTCAAGATTGTTTGCAGGGACTCAAGAAAAATGTGTTGGTTGCAAGAAAACAGTATACCCTATTGAAAAGGTACAATTAATAATAACAAGAACTATATTATTCTTATTACAACAAACTTGTATTAGTGATCTTGATATATAGATGTGTTTGATCATCAGGTGGGTGTGGATGGAAAATGTTACCATAAGGGATGTTTCAGGTGCAGCCATGGAGGGTGTGTAATAAGCCCATCAAATTATGTGGCCCATGAACATCGCATTTATTGCAAGCATCACCATACTCAGCTATTCAAGCAGAAGGGTAACTTCAGCCAATTTGACATTCAGCATCAAAATAATGGCCATAGCAATGGTCATGGGATTTCTGAGAATAATAACACAAATTCTTCTGAGTAGTAACAACTATTATCAAACTTTGATGCATGTACAATGTCAATTTCTGTTTTGTTTTATTAAATATGTAACCATATTTGTAAGTCAAGATCATTGTAATTTGTAACAAGAACTTCCATATTGTGATATATTTTTTTTTCCAGTAATACCCCAAATTGGTTTCTAAGAAATTTTTAGTCGAATACTCTAATACTTAATAAATTTTAATCATCCAATTAGTCTCCAGATTTTTATTTTATAAAGAATCAAAGTTTGATATATGCATTTTGTCTTTGAAGCTTTATTATTATTGCTCGATTACCATTTGTTTCCAAATAAAACTTCTAATGCAATATTAGGCACTCCCGTTACTATTACATACATGCAAAATATTAATTGTATTTTTCTCATGTGGTAGTAACTACATACAAGATCATGCTTCCCTTATTTATTTATTTTTTCCCTCTTGTCTGAGGATTAAAAATTTAAAATGTGACAACAAATTTTCCTCGTAATAATTTACACTTATTAAGTTTCAGAAATTTAGTTTATACCAACAACCGACCTTAGCTCAGTTGGTAGAGCGGAGGACTGTAGTTGGTATAGCAATCCTTAGGTCGCTGGTTCGAATCCGGCAGGTCGGAAATTTTTTTCATTCCATTGTTTCTATCAATCAAAAGTTATTATCAATGTGGGTTTGATTTTTATGTAATGATTCTTTCTATTGCATCTGTTGCTTAGAGTTAGAGATCAGAAGACCTATGTCTAACATATAGGAAACAACATTATATACTTGATACGACGAAATCATGAATTGGATGATACAATTTGACTACCTCTATATAAGTTGTAACACCTAAAGCTATTACAATCTCTATTATTAGTGTGGTTGTACATGCATGCCACTTTTGAAGAAAACATATACTCTATGTATGACTCATCAGTCAACTTTGAAGGCTATGTGATGATATTCTTTTTGTTATTAGCTGCTACTAGTTGGTGTTTCTTACATATCCATATATACACTTTTCTACCAACCGTCTAACCAATTTTTTGTTTAATTAATAATTTTATTGCCACAAAGATGATGTATCCATCTTTCAAAAAGGAATTATATAAGAAAATCATCAAATAAACATCATTGAGAAGACATGCTTTTTGCCATCTATTTTATTTCTCACACTAATATGAATAATATACTTATCTTTTTTTATCTGCCTAAAAATTCTAATGTTTTTTACTAATGTAAGATATACTAATTTAATGACGTATTAAGATTTTAGTGGTAAAAAATACATGCAAGACGATGGTAAGTTGATAACCAATTCATAACCATATATAATTTATTTATTTTATTTATTTAACCGATCTTCAACTCACTCAGGGGTAGATATCTATACGGGAGGCATTAAAAAAATACAAAAACATAATTATAAATATTAAATTAAAATAAGATAATTACGTTTATTGTCTCTCTAACCTTATCAGATATTTACCACTGTTTATGTATTCAGATAGCTCTGCTCTGAATCTAGATTGAGATGAGCTTTTTCTTGGTGTAAATCTAAACTTTTTGGATAAAGATTTTTCTCTTTGAAAAAAGAAAAAAAAAAAAAAGAAGAAGAAGGAATTATAGCGCATGTACATGCATCTTTGGTGTTACTATTACTATTGTGAAAGCATGTGCTATGGCAAAATAGATAATACAATCAAAATGATAGATGGATAACTTAAATAATTAGGAATTTTAAAGGTTTAGTTACTTGATCCACATATACACTAATCTTTTTTATATTTTATCAGGTTATATACGTATACATTATACATATATCACATAGAATTTACACACATAAATTATGATGTTATATAATTTTTATACGTAAATTCATATATAAATATTGTATAATTGATTTGATGATGGTTAAATATTAATGTTAAAAAAATTGGGTTAGATCCAAATAAGAAAAAAAATAAAAAATTATATCTGATATAAATTTACTTTTATTTAAAATTAAGTTTATTTAAATCTCAGTTTGAGAAATGTTAATTCAAAAACGTACTATATGAAGTATATTAGAAAAAAAAAAGTTAAGCAGTTAGAAGATGGTAAAATTAGTGAAAAGCATGGGTTTAATGCATGCAGAAATAGGTATGCATGTCGTGTATGATTGATGATGATATTGGAAGAGAAGAGAAAAAAGAAAAGAAAACAATGAAGGGAAAGAGCACAGTGGTAGATGTTGTGGATTATTTAAACATGAGAAAGCATTGAAATGATGGAATGCAGAAAAAGCAAAAGAAAAGAAAGAGTGTGTGGGATAGTGGGAAGGAATTCTATGTACTGTTAGTAATGATGGGGAATCTAAGAGAGAGAGAGAGAGAGAGAGAGAGAGCGCGAGCCCTCGTCACTCGTGCATTCCAACTAACGAACGAACTTTCATGCTCATCACCATTTTCATTTTGCTTTGCACTTGCACGAGTGTGCTCACTGCTCACCTGCTTTCAATTGTCTTTTCCTCTTGTACGTGCCCTCACTTTTCTAATTCTTCTTCTCTCCTCTTCTTCTCCATCCAAATTTCATTAATATAAGTTAAATCCGATAATGACTTTTTATAAAAATATATATATATATATATAAATATCAGTATAAAAAAATTTATAAAATATATAAAAATACATAAATAGTTAATTTTATTAATGATATGCATAAATTAATTCATCTATATTTATAGCGATCGTAACTCGTAAGTGTATATTAAAAATAGTCAATAAATTGATTATAATAATTTTAGGTATATATTTATTTTCTCTAACTAAATTTAATAAAATTATTTATTCTATGATAACTAGATTATTATTTTTATGTCAAATAAAAATTTATTTTATTATTATTTTTTATATTATTTGACATCAAAATAATTTTTTATTAACATAGAAATACATAACTTAATTAAACTTAATTTGTCAAAATAGATGTGCGTATAATATTATAAAACTAATTATTAGTTTAAAATATATATTAGGATATAAAATAAATATTAAAAATTACTTAAATAATATATGTATTTATACATAAATATTTTATAGTTAATTGAATGAGTGAATTTAATTTAATGAATAAAAAGTAATTTTTTTTACTACATATATATACATTTTTTCAAGAATCACATTCTTAACTTAGATGATTATATATAATATTCAATACGCAATTGGATTGAATTTTACTAGTTTGTTATCATTAATATCCAAACTTTATTGTAAGTATGTGTCTTAAATTGAACCTTTCTTTCTTTATTAGCTTTGTGTTAAAAATCAAACGTAAAATCACTGGAAAAAAATGATGAGTTATCTGTCACTGTACCACTCTAGAAATTAAAAAAAATAGAAAAATAAATTAAAGAAAGTAGGAAAGGGATCATTTGCTTTAGTAGCTGAAAGACAGAAAGAAAGTAGTGAGGGAATAATGGAATGGGCCATGGATATGGATATGAAAATTTTTGAAAATTCTTGTGCTTCTAATTCTAATGAAACAAAATATATCCGTGGGGTTTCATCTATCTTCATGCATGTCTAAAGTGATAATAAAAATAAATAAAAAATAAAAAAATCCATTGATTGCATTTTGTGTTTAAAGTATGCATGCCCCTTCTTCTGTCCCATCTTTCTTCAATTTATTAATCCATTTTAAAAAAAAAAAATTTCATTTGTACTCCACTTCTTCTTATCTTATATACCCACCACTTGCTTCTTCATCATACTGATTTTTTAATTAGGATGTTGTCCTTCATTGTAATTTTACAAATACACAAATATTCTAGGACTAAATTATTAATATACCTAATTAATTATTACTGTTCCACTAGTGGATTTTTTTTTATAACATAGATTCAACTAAAGAATTCTGGAAACTATGTAATATTTTTCATATCATATGTTTGAAATATCTATTATTTATTTACTATTATTGACAAACATGGTTTGACCACAATAAATAAATAAGGACAATTATATCATCGTTATAATAAATCTAATATTAATTTTGGTAATAAAAATTTGTAATATTTTAGAAAGAAGGTCATCAGTACTTGTGCAAATATCATAGCAAAATCAAATACAATAATTGGTGGCGTAAAATGATTATGATATACAAGTGCCATAGTTTGTGCTTTAATTTAATGTCTCAGGTTTTTAGTTTTTTAATATATATTTAATTTAACGGATCGTAGATCTGAAGAAACACATAACCAAATTACATTCTGCTATTCTGTTATGCAACTTGTTATTTTCTTGAAATAAAAAAAAGCTCAGACCCACCCTACACACACAGTTCTTGAGAGATCCTCCGGTTATTAAGGCTTATATAATATTAATAATAATAATATTTTTTCTTCAAAAGCTGCAAATATCTTTAGTATATACACATGATTAAAGGTTTTGTGTCACATTGTACTGAACTCATAAATGTACAATTTTTCAGTTTGATCAATTCATATCTTTGATAGTTGTGAGCCATAAAAAGAGAAAATGTGACATCAGAACAATAAATAATAAAGGTGGAATTAAAAATGGTGATGAAGCCTGAATTCACTAAAGATTAATATATCTGAATACATTAATTGATGATGTTCCATATGTCAACCTTTACTATACACAATTATTATCATAATTATTAATTATTAATTAATATTATTGTGCATGAACCAAGACCAAGAGAATTTTGCACTATCTCTGAGTTGATTCTTGGACCCTCTTCCTCTGCCTGAATGATGTACTATATAATTAAAATTTTGAACAGATCTAAGCAATCATGGAGCAACTAAAAAGATTTGTGTGTTTGGTTGGTTTGAGTGCTGAAATTGAAATTGAAATTGCTCCTCTGTTGTGTCCCTCACTGCATGTGAACAAGATTCAGAGAACAGATAGATCAGGTTGTTGCCTCTGAGATGCTTTGTAAAGAGGGTTGCCATGTTCTTGATGATGATGATGACTTAGCTGTTATTGTGCCACTACTACTACCTCCATTACTACTACTTGATGTTGTTGTCCTAGACCCATGTCTTTCACCTTTATTACTTTCCTGCAATATTATATTATAATAAAAAAAATCAGAATTATTACATGGTTATTATTTTTCAGAAACACATATTACAGATAATAATAAAATTATACTTCCTTTCTATTAATTAAATTGGGTCAAGAACAGGAAAAATTATGAAGGCAGCAAGTTCTGTCAAACAAAACATGCTAATTATTAATTAGTACTACTAGTAGCAGTACAAGTAAATCTAAATCAATTTGCAGCATCAATCTCTAATATGTATATAATAGTTCAATAATTAAACTTGTTGTTCATATACATATGTATTCCTTGATGAGAACTTTGATTGATAATATTATTATAATAAGTAGAGATAGAAAAACTAAACTAAACATCAGTATCCAATCAAGAAACTCTTGTTCTGTAATCAGATTTAATTTAATCCAAAAACTTTGAGTGAGATTTACCTGTTTGTCCTCCTGCTCAACAAGCCTCCTTGCTGGTGGTGCCTTGTCCATGTCAAACCCAGGTTTCAACTTCATCACTTGATCTGATTCTGATAACAAGTTTTTCTTCATCTTTGCTTGTTTCTTTGCCCACAAACCC